ANANANANANANANANANANANAAGTANAAGTACATACCTACTACGTAGATACGGATTACGAGTTAANACGTAAGAAGTTAACGTAAAGTAAGTAAAGTAAAGTAAAGTAAAGTAAAGTAAGTAAAGTAAAGTAAAGTAAGTAAAGTAAAGTAAAGTAAAGTAAAGTAAAGTAAAGTAAAGTAAAGTAAAGTAAAGTAAAGTAAAGTAAAGTAAAGTAAAGTAAAGTAAAGTAAAGTAAAGTAAAGTAAAGTAAAGTAAAGTAAAGTAAAGTAAAGTAAAGTAAAGTAAAGTAAAGTAAAGTAAAGTAAAGTAAAGTAAAGTAAAGTAAAGTAAAGTAAAGTAAAGTAAAGTAAAGTAAAGTAAAGTAAAGTAAAGTAAAGTAAAGTAAAGTAAAGTAAAGTAAAGTAAAGTAAAGTAAAGTAAAGTAAAGTAAAGTAAAGTAAAGTAAAGCAAAGTAAAGTAAAGTAAAGTAAAGTAAGGTGAAATGAAATGAAATGAAAGCAGAACTTGATTCGCTCTTCACACTAATTCACACATTCCCCACAGCAGTGCTGTTGTGTTACTCTTAGCTCGTCCCTCAACACATTTTCATCACAGAGATAACCAATCAAACGTAATACGTGCCAGTGCTTGTTACCCTTTCACATACGATGCGTAGCACGCAATCAACCATTCTTCTACGGTGTTGTGCATTCGTGTGCCGAGGCTCTTTAAATGTTTTATTCCGCTCTCACCGTACTGCGTTCATTTATCAGCTGTGCACGCAAAGCACCGTTTTCATGTTTTAAATTTGTGCAGGTCACCTCAAATTATCTTGATCAAGCCATTGCTGCACGTATCATTTTCATTTCTTTGAATATTTCTATTTATCTTCTCACATCATATCATTTCAATATTACTTTTCTTACGTTTATTGCATGGTAGTCTGCAAAAACCTTTTTTTATTGAAATACGTTTGTTATCTCTTCATATTATGATTACCGTTATTTTTTGCATTTGGTGGTTTCTCCGTGGAATGGCCCTATCCAATTTGTGTACTTGAGCGCTACCATTCGTGATCAAACCCTACTTTTGGTACTTCACATTTATTTTTACGTTCTACCTGTCAACGTTCTTTTATCACGGTTCAATGCCCATACTTTCTAATCACCTTACACACCAATCCCATTTACTTATCCTATGATTGTGGTAAATTTGCATGCAGTTCTGGTGTTTTTCTTGTTACCGTACAAACCATTGTGCTTCCTGCTACTCTTCGGTATTATCAACGGTCCTGTGTACAAACATTTTTACCTACCAATCACAGCTCTTTTACACATCCCATACCGACTGCTCACACCAACATTTACAACAGCACACATTCTTTTCTTCACCACAGATGAGCAAGTGCCTGTCCTCCTGGGCAGAAAGCAACAAACCAAAGAACAGCACCGCAATGCATAGGTAAAAATGATCAAAAGGTACGCAACCAATAAAACACTAATTATTACAAAATGTGATAATTGCCGTTCCACCCGTTCACAAACACCTTTCATTCTCCTTTTTTCTCCTTTCCCATCTTATGTGCAGCTCGCCATTTCCACCCCATGGACCACCGCACCGTATACTTTGATTACATAAAGTCCATTTACAACAAACCGACATCGTTCCGCATTCTTTCAACTCCCACCGATCTGTGCGTGTTCGTGTCGCAGAATAACGGCCGTATGGTGTTTAGCGATGAGGTGCATGCGAAGATGAGTGGGTATAAAATGGGCAGGGGAAAGAAGATTTTAGTGTTTTGTATGTTGGACGGTGAGAATATGCTTAAGAGTGTGGAGGATGAGCTGTATGAAGTGTTTGTTAGGAATGTACGGTTTGATGCTGGAGGGTGATGGCGTGTTGGTGAGGTGCCAAACGGAAGGAATGTTTGAGAAATGTTGGTGAGGTGCTTTGGCTTGATGTTGGAGAAATGTTGGTGGGATGCTTTGGCTTGATGTTGGAGAAATGTTGGTGGGGTGCTTTGGCTTGATGCTGAGGGTAATGACATCTTGGTAGGTGTACGTGTTAATCATCACCAGCACAATGATAGAATCATACGATTGAGCGCATGTTTTAATGAGGATGCATGTTTAAATGGTGCGGGCACCGAGCGGAACATACAATCCGTGATGTGTTTTTCTTGTTTATGCATTTTTATACCATTAAATACTTATTTTGTTTATGCATTTATGCTTGGCATTTGAAGGAGCACGCCTCTATAAAAATGATGTAGGCATTATTTCTGTTGGTAACACAGAACAGCATTCCTTTTATACTCTGCATGATCATTAGTAACCGATAACTTTACAAAGCATTTCTTGGTAAAAATAATTTTATTACCGTACAGCACATCCATCGGTGAGGCAGGGGCAATATTTCGGTAATTATACTTTGTCTAGTTCGTTTGAAGGGGTGCGCCATCAAGCGATGTACTTAACCAATCACGTGTTACTTCACAAGGGGTTAAACAATTAATTTTACTAATTTTGAGTTAAGCTGTTCCCACCAATCACGTGTTACTTCACAAGGGGTTAAACAATTGATTTTACTAATTTTCAGCCGAATTGTTCTAGGAAGAGCACCGCGCAGTCTCAAATAAAAATTATGTGAAGACAGAACACTTTACGCCGAGCCAAGGGCATGAAACAAGCTGTGATCAACACCAAACCAACAAACAGGAACAATACGATAGAAAATACCCGTTACAAACTGTGCTGTCCAAATAACAGCAGTAACACGCCGTGTAACTACCTCTGCTATCAGCAAACATGTATTAATCATTTTTCAATACATGTTCAAGCCATCATCCTGTAAGAACAGCCAAAGTAACAATTCATAAGTAAATTATACTTAGTTCAAGCCATCATCCTGTAAGAACATCTCAATACTTAGAAAATCAACAGCCCCTAACAGGGAATGGCACATGTACCGGACAGGAGCAAAATCTTCAAAGAAGCGTTTAAGAAGATGATAAATGAAACATTCAAGGATAAGGAACGAATCAATAGGTTGATGGCTGATAAGGAGAGTGTTAACAGTTCGTGTATGTTTAGTGAGGTAAGGATGGGCACTGAGTGTGAGCATGGTTTAGGATGTGAAAAGGATGGTGACCGACTTGGCGATGAAAATGGTGAAAATGATGAAAATAATAATGAAAATGAAAATGGTGAAAATAATAATGAGAATGATGAAAATAATAATGAGAATGATGAAAATGATGAAAATAACTCAGTTATTTATAATAATCCTACCAATCACATCACTAGTACCAACCTCATCACCATCCTCAAGCACAATCTTTCACAGTCCTTCAAAACGCTTACCATACACTCAAACACGGCACCATCCCTTTCCAATCTATCAAACCTCATCAACCAGCACATAATAAACCGGAGAGACATAAGAAACGAGGAATACATACGAGAAGTGTTTAGCAGCTACAGTGCGCAGCACAAGCGTGTGCTGGTGAGCAGGTTGAGTGCAATGATCGAGGATATGAAAGGGAGGGTGGTACGGATGAAGGAGCGTGTGAGTGATAGTAGTGAGCGTATGAGAAGGGTGGATGATGAAAGGAGCAGGGTTGGGGAGAGGTATGTGGGGATGTACAAGCGGTTTAGTGATGTGATGATGTGATGTGATGATGTGATGTGATTGGTGCTCAGTACGGGTAAAATACCAAAATATTGATAACGTAGCGGTGAACTACCAGTGATTCAGGTAATGGTAGTAAATGCTTTAAAATTTGATTTTATTATAATTTTATGCATCGGTGCTTGGTAGGGGGTATTACCTGGTAACGTGCCATGGCCGCACATCTCGCTCATCATTCACATCTCACTCATCATTCACAACCGCTCATCATTCACAACCGCTCATCATTCACATCTCGCTCATCACTCACAACCGCTCATCATTCTTACACAGGTACCAAAACCACGCTCATTCTCATACACGCACACAACATCCTAAACAACCCTTCATCACCGCCCAAAAGTTCCTTCCCAACCACCACCACATCAATTGCACACCTCTCCAGCACCTCCATAACACGTGCACACTCATTCTCCCGCACCATTACCAACCGCTTGTCATTGGAAACACCGCACAGCACCGATTTGTAGTACGCGACCGGTGCATTCGTGCACGCACTGCGGTGTACTGCAGGTAACCATGTGCACCTGTGCATTGCTGGTACGTATGCGGTAGTGCACCGTTCCAGTGCCACTACGAGTATTTTATCGTTTTTCTTGAGAATGTTATTTTTCAACCACTGCACTTTTTTTGGAATTGCAGCTTTTGAGCGGTTGAGCAGTGCTATTGTACGCATGGGATGGGCTGTTAGTACCCTTTTTGTGATGGAGTACCTCCTTTAATGGTGCTGTGCCCCTTATGCCACAGCTGAGCGGTAAAGCATTCTTTTATAGCAGATCAAGCGTAATTGTGTGCGTAGCAGCAATTAATAAATTACTTTACTTACATCAAATACGGTATTACACTCATTTTGCTGCTCTTGCAATACGAATTAGTGCTGTACATCTAGCAGCATAGATACCACGATGTGCATGCTGGCGTACAGTACCGTGCAATACATGGTGCAGTAATATTTAGGGTTTAGTACTAGGTGGTGTAGTAATGGCGTGTAATACATGATGTGGTAATATTTAGGGTGTAGTAATATTTAGGGTGTAGTACTAGGTGGTGCAGTACTGCCATGTAATACTGTAACGTAGTAATAATGGCGTGTACTACAATTAATATTACAATTAATAATACAACCCTATAGTACAATTAATATTACAACCCTATAGTACAATTAATATTACAATTAATAATACCACACCCTAAATATTACAACCCTACATCACCCTGTACTACAACCCTATAGTACAACCAATAATACAACCCTATACTACAACCCTGTACTACAACCAATATTACCACACCCTAAATATTACAACACCCTAATATTACAATACCCTAATATTACATCCCTACATCACCCTACAATATCACACATTCTTAACCACAAATAGCATCAACGCCCCATAAACAACCCCTAACACTCCTACACCCCCCACAACACCGTTCCACCCCATCCCATAGCACTTCACATGCATGCCAAACGGTACAACAAACATGCACATCGATCCAAAGAGGAAGAAGAGCGCCTTCAAGTAAAAAAAATTACCAACAAACAACGAACACACGAACACGAAAACAAAGATGGAAATGCGCACCACACGTCTTGTGCACATCGTATTTATGAGCTTGGAGAACGTGAGCAGCTGCAGAACTACGATTAGAAGACGTAGCATGTCATTCATGTACGGAACCGTTAGGAAGTGGTTGTTGGTCTTGAGGAACGTGAGGTGCCTTATTATGCCCAGGCTTGTTAGCGTGCAGCAGGTGAGTGCGTTGAAGAGTATCACGTGCTTTTTCTGGTGTTCAAGCACGAACGGCTGCGTGTAGAACGACCAGATGAGGAACGCGGTGTTGTGCAGGGCATGGAACAGCGCTAATGCATCGGTTGTGCTGCACACACTGGCAGACACCTTCGTGTGGTGGTAGAGGTGCTCAATCACCGATGCACCGATGAAAATAACGATCATGATCGCTTCGCCTACACCAACGATGAAGTGCCCCTTGTCAAACATAAGGAACGTGCTGAAAAAAATTGTGCCCAGAATGAGCTTAGCATCAAATTTAAGGATCTCTTCCAAGAAATTGTAGCTCACCTTCAGATTCACGACCAGGGTGGTAAGATCGAGCACCAAATTGCACAGAAAGAAGAACGTGCTCACCTTGCTTCCTAGTACCTGCCGTACAAGGGCATCGTATGTTATGCTCTCCTCTACTGCCATTTCCTTTATCTTTTTGTTCTTCGGAATTGTTACGATCGATTCGGCGGTACCACTCCTTGTGCTGCTACTCCCTGCTTTTTTAACAATGCTTTGTTCCTTTTTTATCTTTTTATGCGCTGCCAACGCATTGACCTTGTCTTTCTTTTTATGCACTGCCAACGCATTGACCTTGTCTATCTTTTTATACGCTGCCAACGCATTGACCTTGTCTATCTTTTTATGCGCTGCCAACGCATTGACCTTGTCTTTCTTTTTATGCACTGCCAACGCATTGACCTTGTCTTTCTTTTCATGCTCATGCGTTAGACCGCCCTTCTTGTGGTCCGTTTCACGCACCGTACTCTCAAACTCACTCACACCGTTTCTTTGCTCAGCACCACCAGCACTTACCTTACCCTCCTCACCATCACTCCTGCTGTATCTGACCAAACGGTTCAGTTCATGCTCATTTCCTTCCGCACCACCAGCACACCCTTTGCTGTTCATGTGCAGTTTACGGTTCGTATTGTTTTTATTCTCCGTGCTGCTCGTTCTGTACACGAGTATTTGCTCCTCTGTGCCATCCTCTGTGCTGCTGCAATGCGCATGATCTTTTTTGCTCGTTCTTATTTTTTCATGGTTGTTGATTTCATGCATTGCATGGTTTGTCTTCTTGTCAGTTACACGGAGTGCATTTTTATCGGTAGAAGAACCACGCGTACACTGCGGTGCTGAGCACCGCTTTGCAACAGGAGGAGCAGCACCGCTTCGATTGTTATTACGCGGTTGGCCTGCCTGTGCATTTTTGCAGCACTTCTCGTTCACAGCATGTGTTTTGGTGGACAGGCGGTTTACGCCTCGTTTTTGGTCCTCCTGATCACAGTTAGCACACGGTACACCATTGATGCTGTGCTTATCACGTGTTTGCTTGCCGTGGGTGCACGTTGTGCTCTTTTCAGCGGTAATGCCCGTTTTGCTACGCGTTCTTTCGCTGGTACCCTCTCCTGCCAAAAACCCCCTTTTAACAATTTCTTTATTCACGTCCACACGATTCTTCTTACCGCCCCCTCCATCACACGCTCGCTCTGCATGAAACCCCTCACCAATGCTCTTCTGCTCCTTCGTGCCATAAAAACGCTTCTTATGCACCGCATTGTTCGTTTTGCCAGTGCCATTCTTATTTTTATCATGCGCGCCATGATGCGCATCATATGCATTGCACGCACCGTTGTACTCATCGCTGTAAGGCCGCTTATGCATGATGCCGTTCTCTTCTAGAAGTTCATCATCGATTAATTCGCTGCAATTGCCATCATTCACCGTGCACCCGTCATTAACACCAAAGATTGCACCGAGCTGACGGGCACCACCGCCCTTCTCACACGCACACTCTGCATCCTTGCCCCTGCCCTTTCTACACACGTGTTCTTTGACCTGTATCACCATCACAGAGCTGATAGCACTGATCAGTGCAACGGCAAGCGTTGCTAGCACAGCGTTGATTGCGCCTATGAAGAAGTACACTTTACCGATAAAGAACAGCGCACCGATTATTTGTATGCGCACGATTGCCAGGGAATTGTTGAAATAGTTTGGCATTTATTGGTAGGGGTAAGAAAATTTATTTTTATAAATTTTGTGTAGAGAGTGCTACATAAATGGAATGTGGTGTGCACTGTTTTGGAAAGTTTTGGTAACCGATTCTGGTTATGCTGAATAACGGACATATTTGAGATGGGGACGGTCCTGTGAAATGGAGTTGTACGCAATACGGCAACTGTACGGAAAGAATCGTGCAGCGGGCCATTTATAGGCTTTGCTCCCTGCAATGATATAACAGGCGTGTTGCACGTTTTTTGTCTTGCAGTGACTCAGGCTGGTAAATTATTGGCTTGCCTTAACGGAACGTATCACAGGCCTACAGCAGCACGAGCAGAATATCAAAACATAAGCAACAATCCATTCGTAGATTCGCTCTATCAACCGATGAGCGGGTAGAAGCAAATAGATGCGTGTAGGTAAGCGGTTATTTACCGAATACTGCCTTCTTAATTTGATAAAACGTGCACGGGAGAAAAGTGCTGGTGAACAGAGCAATATCGTTTTTAAAGAGGATCATGGTGTTTATCGGATGTAATAGGAAATTTTAAGGGAAATGAACTTTTTTGTAAATTGTTGAGTGTTTGTGACATGCCCTATGTGCGACAGCATGTTCAATCCAGTGAACTTGCCTATTCGTAGGTAAAAACGGATATCCTAATCAGATGAAAATAGCGACTTACCAAAATGTAATGGGTTCATTGCCAGATCGTATCTCAAGGAATAGCCCGTTCAACACATAAAATAGCTATCTTTCAGGCATACCCCTGTTCGTGACCGCTGTACTACCAGATGCAGTAACAAATGTTTGTGCAGTTCTGCCAATGCAATTAGCAACTATGGACGACGTCTTGTCGCACATCACACGCTTCGCTTGGATCAGTAATTTTCAATTATTGTGGTAAGAGGAGATAAAAACCTATTTTTAACGAAACAGTCCATTCATCATTGATCTGCACGAATGAAGAAACAACTCGAAAGCTGATTGATCAATCTATTCTCACAAGTACAGAATTGTTGTTCCACATTTTTACACGGTAGCTTTACCGTGCAACCAACATAGAATTACCGGACATTCTTACACCGAAACACATTTGTGTAAAGCAAAAGAAACGCATTGCACCTTCTAAACCAACACCTATACCACCGAATGCCAAAGAAGTACCTGCTACCAGGTTATATGCATCAAAAGTTTATTCTCATGCTTCGATGGATGAACGTATGTTGCTGACCATTCAATCATTTTTGCTGCGGTGTGCTCGGCCGTTGTTCACGAACAATGTACAACACGACGAGATGTTCAAAAGCAGTTAATGTTTAATCCTTGCTGTGAAACGTAAGGAAATGGTTGAAGCAAGGTGCAATAAAACTTTAAAAGGATAATCGTACAGGAACAAAGTCAAGTAAATTTATTTTATGTTTTCTGTAACAGCAGAGTTAAAATATTTTACCATGGCTTGGGCTTCTAGGCAAGAAATGTTTGAATGTTGCAACTGTGCATTTTTACGTTCTGAATTCTCTGCGTAACTTCAATCAGTACATGCTTGATGAGGAAAGGATGCGATTCACAGGCATAAAACGTATGGCAAAAGCATATTCACATATCATTTCAAGGATCTTGTGCGTGTTGTGTATGTGGTAGTAGACGTGTCTGGTTGGTACAAACCTACAGAAATTGTACTGCCTCTCTGTGCTGTGTGACTGAAACGATCATCTAAGAAACGAGAAGCGCTAATTTATTGCAGCGAGTGTTGGGAAGAGGCGTAGATATGAGCTTGGGCTCGTCCAGAGGGGCCCTGAATAAGAATCGGAAGTAACTACTGAGAATGGCATTCTCTAAAGAGAATCCTGCGGTACGTTGTACAATTCTAGTTCAGAATCGCACAAAACAAGCCAATGATGCCAAGAGCGCAATACCGTGGCTAGGAAAGATCCTAAATACATGTTTGACAGAACAGGTGTGGCGAAATGCTGTCAAATAGAATTGTTCGTCAAAATAAATGTAAAAGATACAAATGTAACACTTAAATGAGGATAGCAGATGGTCTGAATTGTTCTGAGAATAACACGATCGTACTATCCCTCATGTCATCGTACTTTGGGCATTGAATCAGATTAATAATTTGTAAATGTCATTCTTTGATAAGACAAATTCGTAAGGACTTAAGGTGGTGGTACATGTTCGCATTTTGGTAGTAATAAAATTTATTTGGCCTAATTTCTATTTTTGTGTTTGTCATACGATTTAAAAATTTTTACGGTTTTTACCAATTCTTACAAAATCGAATCTTCAACAAGCAAAGTAACAGAGAAAACATGAGAAAAGCAGTACTAGGAAACGGCTCTTAACTTACGGTACATACAGGCCGTTTCGTTTTTAACGCTGTAAGAGGCAAGCCTGATTGTTAAAGGTGACACGAGCTCTTTGAATAGGCAGGTATGTTTGACAGGAGCTATTCAAAAAAAGTTTGAACCGCATGCACGAATGGCAAGCGAGTATGCACGAAGAACTGAATTATTGTTTATTAAACGAGTAATACGCCTTATATTAATACTTTCCTTGAACGGATCTGCTAATACAAACAATAACACATCATAATTTAGTATCCTGTCATCTTTTCGGTAAGGACATAAAATATGGCAAATACTGTTCTGGTCTGGAATTAAAAGTTTCTAAACCTGCAATACTAAACCGGTGGTAAGGCTATTTCTCCATGCGTTGTACGGAACGGTGTTCGTTGCGCTGTATTTTAATATTTTTACGAGTAAGTAAACTGCCGTACCACAAGCTACTCAATTCTTTGCATTCATAAATGATAGCAGCACCACAAATTTTGGTGCTTTAAAGGAACTAACTCAAAAAGGTGCAAGTACCATTTATGGAAAGCCCAATTTATTTAAAAGAACCAGCGAGATATTTTGGTAAGTTTTCACGATGAATATTTCAGGTGTCTTGATCAAGTTCATTCTCATATTCAAAAAAGAGAACGAAGCGGACCAGAACAACGTTGAAATATACGGATCGGAAGTTGATGCTGGATTAAGCGACTGTGTTAATGACCTTACAGACGGCGAGTATTGCATAGCAAACATGAGGATGTATGACGACAAAGAGGATAGGTTCCGGTTGTATGGCACCAACGAACAGCACGCACAATCACCTGAGAAGAAGGCAATGCCATTCACTTATTGTGAAGGAACTAGCACTCAACCAGCTGCTGCCCCCGACAGAAGTGTAATATACATGGAGATGGATATGCCTGTATCCAAAGCTCTCTACCATAAGATCATACGCGTGTCACTCCAACCTTGCTTTTACTTGAGTGCTAGGGAGATCTACGTGACAATCATGTCTGGGCTATGCGACTTTGTGGATAGTCGCAGGTTGTTAATCGATCGAATTACAACCAATCTGAGCGCAGATGCCGAGTTATTTGAATCGCTGCACAATTATCACCAGGCAATAATGTGCTCTCAGTTCGCAAAAATTAAGGGATTTGATGCGATAAAGGCATATTTTAATGGCCACTGCAATTTGGCAAACTCTACCAACATGATGGAAATAATATTCGTGCATTTGGCGGGAGTCAACGATGACACATCAGTACAGCGCAGAATAGAACAGATTAGGGCGAAGAATGACATTTTTCAAAGCTTTGTGAGTGGAGTAAAAATCAAGTACTGCCTCGTAACGGCAGACTCGTGCAGTCATCGCGTTGGTGAGAAGTCTCTGGGTGGCATTTTCTCGGATCTCTTTGAGCAGTTCCCTACAACTCAGCTACACAGTAACCATGCGGGCTGTTGCTGGGTAATAGACAGCGAATTTTTGGCGTGCAACCAGCAACTGTTCGAGCCGGGGTTTTATGCCGGAAGCACACCGAGTTCAGTTTCGTTGGAAATCGATTTTAGGCCGTTGACCGACGAAAGAGCCGTGATGAAGATGAAAAAGGCGCGTGATGTGATCAACAAGGTGCTATGCTGCGAATTTGTTTGCGGAAACCACATTACACAGCTCACGCTCTACATCAGTGAGCTCAATATGGAGCTGGACACAACAAAAATACGAGCAGAGAGCTGCATCATCCATCTTGACAGCTGTGGATCGAAGGTATTGAGCACGTTACCCGCTAAAATTGAGGAGTTGTACATGAAGAGCATGTTTATAACCGATACGGTAACACTGAGCGAATCTTTGGTGCTCTGCGTATGCAAAAATGTCACTCTGAAGGCGGACACTCGAATCGTGGTACCAAACAAGACCACCAATTTGGTGCTATGCAACGTTGATGGAGTGGTCCAGAGTGCCGTATTCGGAACGGTCACGTGTTTGCCACCTTCAGAGATTTCCTACAAAATGACCGATTTCAATGGTTTGTTCACTTTGCAGATGAGGAATGTGCAATATAAATCTGCTTCTGTGCTCAGCGGCTGCTTTGCGTGTATAATACTTGAAAAAGTGGTTATTGCTGCGCCGCACCAACTGGAATTGAAAGGTGACGTCTGGAATATTTCGATCAGCACATGCAGTGGCAGTATCGATCTCATGGACACGAAATGTTTGGAAAGCTTGCGGTTTACGCAAAAGCTCAATTCCAACCTGAAGATACGCTTCCCGCCAACGATCCGTGTGCTGTATCTGAGCGACGTGTGTGTGCAACAGGACCTGATAATAAACTGCCTAGTCAGAGAATTGCACGTTAACCAAGCTAAAATAGCGACCGGTTGCACTTTCAGACTCGTGCGGGAGTGCAGTAATGTAACGATTCGCAGTTCGGTGGGCGTATTCATCCTAAACGGAATGATCATGGAGTCTACGGGAAGGTCGCAGAATGAAAGCTTTGCTTATAAAAGAACAAACAACGGTTTGTGCAACATTTCTGCGGTTGCAGTGCAGTTAGAATCGGAGAAACGTGCTATTCGTAACATAAAGGCTGTGTATTTGAAAGGTGTTGTGTTTAAGAAGCGTGTGATATTTGGTATAGACGATAGAATCAGATCGTTTTACATCGATCACTTCAGTGGGATCGTATCGTTGACCGGCATTGTTGTAAGCACGTTAACCGGTGGAGAAACCGCAAGCTTTTCGGTTGTAAGATCGGTGCTAGAGGACCACATGGACATCACGGCCGTTAATCTGCTGGTGAAAGAACCTACAGAAATAAAATGCAACCTTGGCAGTTTATTGTTGCAGAACGTGAAATGCCACGAGCACGAACTGGAGTTGAGGGTTTATGGCATGTGCGAGTTCATAGGCATCAGCAACTACACCGGCTTGCTGGACATAGCGGTTCTTAATTTGATTGGTGCATCCTTTGAGAATGCCATATTAGACTACAAAAAAGCAACGAACTACCTCAACATGTACGGAAAAATTGGTTTGAACGGGTATTCCTTGCCGGACAACATCAGGTATGTGGCACTGAGCGGTATCACTGTGACAAAAAATACATTTTACCTACACAAGATGCTGAGGGAGATCGAAATCGTGTCATGTAAGGGACACTTCAACTTCAAGGGGCTGTTCGGCATCTACCGTCTGGCAATTGAACCGGACAGCAACTTTATATTGGAAGAGGCAGAAGGGCCGCACGCAAGTCTCAAATTGCGTAACATGGTGCTTCATGACCCGTTCAACACCAGCAACCGTGTTAATGCACTGACTCTCAACAACCTCAGTACTGACGAACAGTCCGTTCTTCAGATCGATTCGGAGTGTCATTCAGCGTACATCCAGCAATCAGAATGTGGAATTGCCTGGGTGAATGGGACGGAAACCAGCAAAATGAATTGTTACGAAAATGAGTGCTGTGTGTTACAGAAAAGTAACAAACCAGGATTGTTTCTGCTCAAGATGACGCACACATGTCTGTCAAGGAGACTTGTACTACTGGAGTGCTTCGAATCTGTGGTCCTGGAAAAGATACAAGGACAGTCCGACTGTCCTATAGTGATAAACAGCGCCTGTACCAGCGTGTTAATTCAAGGACTCGATGGTGTTTTGTCCTTCCCAGACTCAGAGAGTTTAAACGAAATTTACGTTGATGCTGCTTCCATGAGAAATACGGAAATACATTTAACGGTAACGACGAGCTTCTTCGTTAAAATAGAGTACGAGTTCATGGGCGGAGGCTCAGTAGAAGTGCATATTTGGTTAACCCGCTTTTCTTGTTTAAGATTTTCGTGTGAGTATTCCAACAAATCTTTAAGGGAGGCGTTTGAAACCTTAAACTGTTCTCAGCCAAAATTCCAACTCACTGCGTTAAATGACACCTCTCAGGATGGCACGAATTCGCACTACCTGGTCAACGGTTCTGATTTAGATGTATTTGCTGTGCTGAATGAGCATTTGAAGATGATAAAGCAAAATGCTGTGCTGAATGAGCATTTGAAAAATGATAAAACAAAATACCAAGCATACCTGGCCAAAAGTATGAAACAAATCACCATTAGCCGTTCATCTACCGGCCATCACCTAGCAATTCGTGTGTAGTGATGTGATTGCTGCTGCAGTATTTCTTATGAGTTAAAATAAATTGCGTTGCATTTTTTGGCAGTAGCAGAAGGGTCCACTGCTAATGAACCGTACTACACTGACACTTCGTAAAGTTTTTTGATCATTTAATTTCTTTTTGCATGCATTTCGTGAATCGGTGTTGCAGACATGCATTTCTATGGTGCTGTGTGCTGATAAAAACAGTTTTTGCAAGAATACGTGTTCTTTTGTTCATCTGCAGCTCTGCTCTTATTCGTGCGCTTACGCCAACATTGGTCGGAAAGGGCAAAACAGGACGGAGAGGATGGTCTGCCCAGCTTATACGTGCCGCATATAAAAAATCGTTGCAATTGTGTTTCCAAGTAGAATATGGGCGCGAGCTAGCACGGTTGAAGCGAAGAGACCGAACTAGGATAGAATATGTGATGTGCCGCATCTCAGCAATAAATTCTGTTTAGTTACAAAAGTTTGGACCAATTCGATCCGGTCCTACTGTAGAGACTGATTCTGACAGAAGAGCCGTTATGGCACGCCATAAATGGAGGTGTCAATGGCTAGCATGATGAACCTGGTGTTATCACAGCAACAAAAATAAAATAATGTGGTGTAGCATGCCGCCCTGTTGCTGCAATTAGATATAAATGTTCTCAAAGATTCTTTTCGTACGGACAGGCGCGTGTCTTGGCAGTGAACAGGGAATGAATTGAAAACGTTAAGAATAGTTGTAAACATACGTACTACATCAGGTGAGCTGCAATCGCACCAACAATAAAATATGCAGACCTGGTCAGGGAGTATGTCCTTAAGGAGTTCTTCAGGCCAAATGTAGTACGGGAATAGCAACTGGTACCTGTTCATGCCAGGTTCAAATAATTATTTTTTAAAGCCACGGTAATGACAAATAAACGATGCGAATAAAACGTATTTTGCAGAAATATTACTGTTCCGTACTAAATACGTTACTTAGAATCGAACCCTACCGGTTATACCTGCTCCATGTATGCGCACTAATAAAGAACCTGTTTGATGAGTGTGCATTCCAGCACACCATAATGCGGTCCTCAAACAGAGCACTGCATTGTATCAGAAACGAAAATAGCAGCACGTGCTAAAGATTCTTCTTGTAGAAAAAATATATTTGTGCTAACGTGTGGCATTTCAGAAATAGCATTACGTGCACTATTTTATATCCAAGTTCGCAATAATACCACCAAACTACATTACCGAGCAGTTCCCTACCCAGTTCAGCCTTGCAGATCGTTATCTCATACATGGCTCATGTCTTGCACTTCTATAAAAATATTTTTGGCAGTATTCTAAAATAATTTTAACTCCGAATAGGGAAACAGCATATATCTGGCATTTAATTTTGCAAGTATGCTTAAGTATTCGTTCAAGCACGCTCTAATATCACTTACAGCTTGGTACCCGTGCCTAACAAACTATAAAACGGCAGAAATACATTTAAAAAGTGCTAGCACAGAAATTTGCTCAAAAAAGTTTTTTAGCCAATAATTTTTTAGATCTGTCCATCCACATATGGACATCAGCTGACATAAACGCTTTATTCCGCTGATAAATGCATACTTGATGTAAAAGTATCAAAATTCTAAGTTAAATTACAGATATGATATCTGATATGTTTGTATTGAACTAAGTTTTAGAACTCAACTAAATTAGCTGAGAATACGTTCAACCTGCTCGTAGTACTTCATTTGCATAAATATTTGCTATTTCATCATTTATATGATCAAGTGCAGAGATGATACCGGTACTGCAGGATGTTAGACGGAGGAACTAACTAAAAATAATTTTAAGATAAAAAGAAATGTTCCAAAAATGGAACGGTTGAATTAAAAATATAAAAATGGCACAGAACTTGGCCTCATGAATTTTTTATGTGCTGTTTTGCTGCTTATGACAACTTTCACATTTGCTATGAATGGCAATCCATCCGAACACGAAGGTGGATACGAACCTATCACGTTTACTAGTTTGAACAGTAAAAATGCTTGGCAACAAGGAGCAAAACAAGACCGGACACTAAATATGGTGAATGATATAATGACTAGATGTAACAAGCAAATAGAATCAACTCTGAGATTTTGCAGCCGACCAAATCAACACGGCTGGATTCAGAACCGGGTTATATACACACAGACAACGAAAACTCATTTATTAGGAATTTTTGGCGAATACTTTGTTAAGAACTTCGAAAATTATTTGTCATTCACAAAACAAAACATCGCAACATTTTACCACACTAAAAAGGAAGGTAAGCTTGAGATACATGTCATAAAAATTTGCGAAGTGACCGAAAAAGCGATGTGTTTGCAGACCATAATACATGTAATATTTAAGAACGTGTATAAAAACATGTTTTGTGACCTCAGGCTTTTTTATAATTTAAAGGATATTTTGTGCAATTATACGGATAATTGTAAAAGAAATTATAGTGTAATAATAAAGGACAGGAAGATTTCTAAGGAAAAATATAACAGTCTGCTCAAGAAATTAGATACCTACGCAAAAAATATAAACGATTTGGTAGAATTTCTAGAAAAAAGAAAGGAATCACTGATCAAATTTATGGATGCTGACAAAAATGGCCAGTGCGCCAATTTATTGGCCTTTGTGCAGCAGGAAACTGGAAGAATGGCAGAAACTGGGCAGTACGTCAAGCAGATTAGGGGATCTAATCCAAGTGTAAATGATAATTTACCAATAGAGGATAGAAAGTTTAACCTTTTTAGTGCACGATTAGACGTAACGGCGGTCAAGGATTCAGAAAGCGAAATAAAGGACAGAAATGCTATCAATGAAACAGCCACAGATCAAATTGTGAGCTCCGATGATGTAAAACCAGCATTAAGTGAGGAAATAAACTGCAATACGATGCAACCAAATGATATGCAAGATTGTGCACCTGAAGGACGTGGAAATGAGTCGGATGATAACAGATCATATGACAAGAGGGAAGAAGTTGCAGTGGGACCAACAGTAGAAGGTGAAAGCTCGAACTGTTTAGAATACGAAAAATGTTACGGACTTGCTGAACAATTATTAAACCTACAAAATACGGTTGGGATGGATTCTGGGTGTATGGAAGATTCATTAGCGCCTTATGAGGAAGGTGAGAGATTCTTTTCGTTTAATTCATTGACTGATGCATCGGATCAGGCACCAGTATCGCTTGAAGATGCTTCTAATAATGTTGGACTAACACACACGAAACAGAAGCATCACACTCCGATACAGCAGAAGCATGTGAATGATAATATCACTCATCCTGGTGTTGCACCGAACGATTTTGGATGTAATCCGCACATCGGACCGGGACATCATGCCATATCACAATCAATCTGTTGGAATAATCCCAAGCTCGCTCAACCCGATATTGTACCAAACCATACTATACAGCCGTACCATCCATGTCTATACCAAGCTTTTCCGTCAAATATGAGTTATCCTCCACCACCATATAACAACTACCCATACCACACTCAGCATAATTTTCCTTTATTGCAGTACCACACATCCCCACCGAGTGTATACGAAAACGCTCAGCAACCTCAATTCAATCCAGGAGCGCCTAACAAAACCAGACCACCATTTAACACAAGAAAACATGCACCAACGCGCAATATACAGGGTCAGACATCCACACAACACGAACATGTGATTAGCCCTAATATTAATCCAGGCGGTGTGCGTAATCACTTCATACCTACACGGATAGAAAGGAAGTTAGTTCAAGGCCATTCCTCGCATTCAGGGGTAGGAGATGATGCCAGCGGATCACGTATTAAAACGAATTGGAATCAACCAGCGGATAAGAGCGATGAATCGATGCCAAATCAGGACGCTCCAACTCTGAGCAATGAAATCTGGAGACCCACGGAAAACGAGAAGAAAATGCTTAAAGAGCGTTACAACTATTTAACCGGCAGACGTTAAGAGCGTAGTCATGGGAGATGAAATGTTTTACCTTGTCAGTTCAGAAATAGTGGTTTTTACTAAAAGTTAAAACAAAACGAGCCATGGTTTGCGAAAGAAAAGATGCGATGAATTTAGAGAACTTGTACTGTGTTACCACATAGAACCAGGTATTGCTATGTCCGCTATTAATAAAGATTTTTTGCCAATTTTTAGGCAGCAACGCGCCACAAACACGAAATGAAAATAGCACAACAACTGTTAAAGTGCACATAAAACGCTGGAATCAAACGTTCCAGTCATTGCCACAATCGTTAACAACACCAACACCGTTTACATGCACAGTCTTTCAATAGAACAAACGTTCCAGTCATTGCCCCACAGTATCGTACCGGTTAGAAGTAATGGTGCGGTAAAAATGCACTCTCAGCATTATTTCAACGATCTGCTGCTCAATGCTTGCTGTAAATGTACAGAGATCGCATATCAACGCTAGCACACAGCAATCGTAGTTCAATAGCAGTACCGTATTTATTTGTACCTTTGTTAAAGATTTGATATCGTTGTATTTCGTTCTAAGGTTGAGTAAAACATTTTAGGGCTTGTAGCTGTGTTCTCTTCTGTGGTAGACGAACACCAAATGATATTACAAGCCCAGTTGCACGTATCCGAAACACACGTAGCGCCGTGGAACGTTCCTATTCTCTCGCTGCAAGAAAATAAAAAATGTGCATTTTCAATTCTTTCTTAGTTTTAGCGCTTCACTTATTTGAAAACGTTATTTTGTTCCGTAAACAGAAATAGCACAGCTCCTAAAAATGCAGATTATACCTTCTATCAAATTAATTCCTAGCCCTCATCAACATGTGCACTTTACTACACTTTCTTGCAATACTCAGGTTCTTGAATCGGCATTAAGCACTTCTTTAAACCTGGTTCGTTTGTCATATCGTAACTCAGTGCCATACTATTCCCAACGAATTTGCAAGCTATCGCTTTGTTGCTATCTCGTTACTCAGATCGATAGTGCTGCAAGGCCCTTCTATCTTTATCACAAACAAGTTCGTTGTTAGGTTCTGAGCTTAGCTCACTCTTCTCCGCATTCTTCCAGTAGACTGATCGGACCAGATGGGGTAAAATTGCAAAGAACCTTTAAGCATGCGTAGGTCACCCGGTACAACAGCATTTCAAAAGCACACGCCCGATATCCTTTTAATATCATCTCTTAACCATTCCCACTCTTAGTCTTCTTGGTCGTATCACTTCACAGGAAAGAAAACCAAGTAATATTCTGATAAGGTAGCAGATATGCTATTTTTGACCATCCCTGTTCCGCAATAACACGGCCAGTCCCAAACAAATATCAAACAGCTGTGTAATACCCTCCTAAACATGTCATGCCGTTTCATTCCCTCTCCACGGGCAGTTATCAATGCGCAGGGTAGATTTTATAATTTGAGTGTTCAAAATAGTAAAGCGTGCATACCACCCGCCAAAGATGCATAATCAATCACTCCGTAAATATTTATGGTCACCGCTATTGTTTGTTATCACCACCAAAACATAAAATCATTTAAATACCCCAACAACAGAAATACATGCACATACTGACAAACGTACTGGACACATTTACCTCGCTGTACAACACGCTCTCGTTTCCGGGATGCATGGACATTATAGTGGTAAAGGACCATAAAGGAACGCTTCGCAGTACAAAATTTTATGTGTGTTTTGATCAGAGCTATTTCAACTCAAGCGTCTATTTGATTGTGAATGGGGTGGTGAGTGAGATTGTGATGATGGTGGATGAGATGGGCAACTGCTATTTTGAGGTGGATGAGGAGTGTGCGGATAGAAATGTTGGCGGGGGGTGTGTTGATAGCGGATTCGTGAGCATGAACAAAAATCTTAGCAAAATGGAAAAAACTATAAATTACAGCAATGTGAGCATAAATAGCATGAAGAACGGTGTTGATTGCGGAGCAGGAGGTGGTAATGTGGCGAATATTGCTGATTGTGGTGCGGAAAGCGATAAGGACCGCAATGCCATCGGGTGCATGGACCAGGACATCAAGAAGAAAAACGTGGAGCGGAACGGCACCACCGCAAAAATTCTCAACGGCAGGAATGAAACGGTCGCAATCAACGATGCCATTTACAAAGACAATGCAATCAGCGCTCACGAAAAAGAGAAAATGCGCGTGGATGATAACGATGCATTGCTGAACGGTCTTGAGGAGGATCATTCAGGCAACACAAGCCTTACACTCGATCTAAAGATAGAAGACGAGGAAAAGTGCATAATGACCGACTCAGAGGACGATCTACGGCTGTTGAGGCGGCGTAATGCCAATCCGCACTTCCTCAGCCATAATTTCAAGCTCTCGTCTTCGCAACTGATCGTGAACAAATTCTTAAAAGAGAGCGAAATCGTGCGTTCCACCAACCTGATTTACAGGACGTACGCGATGCGCTACTTTAGAAACAGAGAGACATTTTATGAGCGGGGTGGTGATCTACTGGGCGAGTTTCTGAGGGGAAAAGAGCACTACGACTACCTGGAGGAGAGCGCAGAGCGGCTCTTCCTGATAATGGCACGGCGCCTTGGCACGGACAAGTGTGCAAGCACTGATCATGCGGTTGATGCCGGCACACTGGACGTAGATGCACGCATAAACGGCTTGTCCGACAAAAGAAGCGCTTTTCATGCAAAGCACGATAAGGATGGAGACATAAAAAGCACCAAGGAGTGCAGCTGCAGCAGGGGATCCGCCAGCAGGGTGCTTACGTACCACTCGCCGTATCTTCCATACGGGCGAAAGACCGGTGTTGGGCGTACCACAGGCCCGTTCCAATTCACAGTGAAGTACTCGCTGTGTGCAGACAAAAAAACCGCATTGTCAATTGAAAAGATATTTGCCGATCACATAGTCAAAAATTACGTACACTCGCCAAATCTCGTTGTACGACTGTCCGACGGGCACGCATCCTTCTACATGCGGTCCGATCTGTTTATCGAGCTGTTCATGTTCTGTCTCGATGAAAAGGCGTCGTTTACAAAATTCAGAGAGTTTATGCGTGAAAAGATGGGCCGTAAGAATGTGCATAAAAAGCGTACTCTGAATTTGAGTTCGCACGATCTGCATAAGCTGCACTTGCAGTACGGCAGGAACACCTTGGAGTACAAGCTGGCAGGCATGGACAAGCGCATAGAGGTGTGCATGTACCTGTGGAACGAGAACGACAAGATAATAGTGAGCGATATTGATGGCACTATAACAAAGAGCGATGTGTGGGGCCATATCTACGATCTGGTCGGCAAGGATTGGACACATGGTGGTGTGGCAGCCCTGTTCACGAAGATAATAAGCAACAACTACCGAATCATGTACCTGAGCAATCGCGCCATGCCGATGTACTTCAGGACCAGAAGATATCTCGGCAAAATTAAGCAGAACGAGTGCACACTTCCTGATGGCCCCATCGTGCTATCACCTAAAAGCGTGCTCTCGTCGCTGTACACCGAGGTGCGCAACCAGTCACACATTTTCAAGATAGACTGTCTGCAGCAGATTGAGCAGCTGTTCTATGGCCGTAAGCCCTTCTTCGCAGGCTTTGGCAACCGCATATCTGATCTGCTCAGTTATAAAGTGCTTGGCATTGCAAAGAGTATGATATTTATTATTGATCGGGATGGCAGCATCTGCGAGGGTATGAAGAGGAAGATTAGTGCCAGTTACCTGACACTTAACCATTTTGCCAATACGATCTTTCCTGAAATCAGGAAGGAGGAAGATAAGAGAAAGAAATTGTACCACGATTTTCATTTCTGGCGGTTGTAGAAGCTGATGTTCGTTCAATTTATAGTGCTTGTGGATGGCAGTGTCAATGATGTTATTACGTGTGTAGGGATCGCAGAGAAGCGTGTAATTAGCATTATTAATACGGTTAACGCCTTGGAATGAAAAAATGATAGCAATGCATAATAAGCAAGGGATTATCCGTACGTCACACTAGCAATGCATAGCTAGATGTGTTCTGGTGGTACAACGAAATATTGCCACTTATATATCGCCATATGAAAAATAATCAAAAAAGTAATTTAGAGGTGGATTGCCGGTTTAACACGCATTCCTCAGTACGGCGAGCAAGCACTTACAAACCGTTTATACGGCATAGATTGGTACATAGGTAAAGGATACGTTTTATTATTGCTGAAATGGCAAATAGCACGGGTTGTGATTGATCATATGCTCATGACGGGGTAGTACCATACTTTGTGTTACGTTTTTACTGCAGTATATGCTGCTCAGAATTGGTACATGCTTTTTATGAGTGGTAGGGCCAACTGAGTGCGATGACGGGTGTTTAGGTGTCAATAAGAGGGGTATGCTTCATAGAAAGCATTTTTCTAGCGTTGCATAGCTTTGGTATCACACGTACAATACATCCATGGCTCGCTCCTCATCACACCATGTGCCAGCATCAAATTTTCATATTTAATTTGCCCCTATGTCACAGCTACCGCACAAAAAGATAAAACTGCACAAAAGCAAATCAAAATATCTTAAGAGATCAAAGAAGGACAAAAGTATCGGTTACAGGCTTACCAAGGAGATAAATAGAAAGATGATTGAAAGGGTAAAAATGAGAGAGAAAAATGATGTGGAGAAGGGATGAGAAAGGATATGGACAGTAGGAGGTTAATGGGTTGGACTTGATAGGATAGATTGTGCTTTGTAATGAATGGTGCTCATTAAACCATGTTTGATTCATGTACAGTTTTTTGCTTGAGTTGTGCATTTAATAAATGCTGCTGAAGTACAGCGTTTTAAATGCACCGTGCGGAACAACAGAGATTTGCTTAGAAATGAGAAACATGCTTTAAGATAAGATTAAAGAATATATTTTGCATAATTTGGTGTTTATCGATAACGAACACGGATGGGTCGTTTTGATGTAGTAATAGCGGTCAACTGTGATGTACAGCGCTTTGAATCTTATTATTTTATGCACATAAACGGATAAGCTTTACAAAAGTATATAAGCAGCACACGATCAGACAACGCACATCAGCGCAAGCCTCAGATTTCCCTTCGTATCATCATCC